GTTGCCCTCCTGCTTCCCACACGCTGCTAAAATAGTTTGTTTGTTTCTTGTTGTTTTTATGCCACGCGGTCTAACATGAAAATGTTATTTCTTTAATATTTTTAACCATTATTTTACAAAGCATTATGGTCTTTTAAAATTAATGAACACTACACTCAAAATTTCTGCAAGCCATTAATCTGAAGGTTTTAAAAATGTATTTAACTTTTACAGTGTGGTTATTTGTAGCTTGGAATTAGGAAACACGTTACTTAAAGATCAAACACGTTTAAGTGCATATCGTTACTTTTAATTTCTTTAAGTGTCTCTTGGATATTTTGGCCAGTGTGTAAGTGTTTGGTTGTTCAGCACCGCGTCTGAGATCAGACTCAGGGCAGTTCAAGGGGCCTGGGTGCACACAGAGGTCTGCTCAGCTGATGGGACACCCGAGAGAGCCACGTATGGCCCTGATGGGCTGGTCCAGCTCAGATAACTTGGAGCCGGCCTGTCCTCCTCCACTGGTCGGTGTCTGAGACCAGACCTTTTTAATTGATCAGTTGTCTCCTTATTCAGTGTTCACTGAAGGAGTAAGAGCATCTCATGTGTCCTTTTTGTTTTATTTTATACCCACTACTGATGCTACTAACTCTGACAGTTAATTCACTGTTCTCCACTTCATAACTGCTCAACTTTTTCTTGGCTTTGGTGCTCGTTGCTCCACCATCTTTACATTTGCGTTGTAGCATTCCTGGCTTTCCTTACTTCTCTTTTCTCTTTCTGAGTGAGATGTGTGCACATGGCCCTGCAGGCTCATGCCCGTTTATAGGCATTGGCGGGGCATTAACCTGTGCTAATTAGGAACGACTGGCACGTGCTTTCAGCTTAGGAACACGGGGGATTCATCAATATAAGAGACTCAAACACAGGTGTGAATGGTTCTGCTGTTTAAAAACAAGTTCATGATTCAGATGCAGACTTTTCTTAGGAACAACCTATGAAGAAATTTAAGAAAACACTTGCCATCAGTGCAACACCTCCATAAATTCTAACCACCTGAAACCACTTGACAGTGCTGAAGAAGAATGGTGGAGGTCAGTGTCTGTTCCAGGCTGTGCTGAAGAAGAATGGTGGAGGTCGGTGTCTGTTCCAGGCTGTCCTGTAGAGTTCAGTGGAAGTGGACCCTTGATAGTGCTGGTCAGAACAGGCCTCGGGAACAAAACATGCAAAAGGAAGCACTAGCCATTAATTATACTTGCACAGCCAGTCAAACAGTGTGTGTGTCACTGCGTGCTACGTGTGTGTGTGTGTGTGTGTCAATGTTCATATAGCCAATGCTTTTCAAAAGGAGGAAAAATGGTTTTGCCCAAGCAGCCCTCACGTCTGTGTTACCATGGCTGATGTTGACACAGGGTGTGTTTGATTTGTTTCTCCAGCTTGAGTTTGCTCACCTTCCGCTGGCTGTGAGAGTCAGAGCTGTTGCTTGGGTACAGATTCATAAAACAAGATTTCACAAGAAAACTGTTAAGCTTTACATTTCTTTTAACTGCAGGATTGTGTGTTCTAATTAAAGATTATGACTAAGTAATTAGCACAGTTGTATTTGTAGATGAACATTATTTTCATTATTAATAATTTACATTCTCAGTTAGCTGATTAATCATTTACACAACCTTTTTGGTGTCTCAGGCTGAGTCATTTGAAAATGTGGAATCCTGTGTATTTAATACCTTATCTCCTATTAGACTGAGACAGCTAAATCAAATCATAGATGAGGTTTAACAGGGAAATTAAGAATGTAAAGACAAGCTAATCAGACAAATCCAAGTTAAACGACAACCAGAACTGCAAATGCAGTAGCTAATCCGGGGTCACCTGGTCTTATCAGACCAAAGTGACTGTGTTAAGATCAGATAGTGTCAGTCCGTACGGCTTCACTGGAAACAAAGCACACGTCTTATTTAGCAGGTGTAGCACCACCTCTATGAACTGTCTGGAGGAATAGCCATTTTATGAAATTAGCTATTATTTGCTTTTTTTTTAAATGCCCTTTTTAAAGTAAAGGATTTTTTTTGTAAAAAAAAACTACCAGATGGTCTTCTCAGATGGAAAATGTAATAGGCTTGTGTGTTATTAACTTAAATATTTCCAACAATGGGAGCCCACATGTACTGTTGAGAAACAACTATAGTCACAAATCCTCTGTATGTAATTATCTGGGGGAAAGTTAATGACTTTAGCTCCATAATAACCACAGAGGTCAGTTCATTCGAACAATGGCTTTCCTACCTCTGTAGCATGTGTGACCTGACCTTTTGCTTGTAATGACCCCATAAGGAAGTCTCAAAATCCTGTCCTGCATCGGGAACACAGCAGAGACACTTTGTCAACTGCTAACAGCCACTGTAGTCTCATTTAAGCTCAGGCTGACTTTCATATCGACGCTCACGTTCTCTCTCTCGCTCTCTCTCAGAATTTGACATGGTGTTCTGTTATTGTTTATTATGAAATATTTTGAATTTTAATACTGTGCTACATGGATAAAATTGCATCAAAAGTTTATTTGCTGTATTTCTAGAGGTACAGTAAAGATCACCCTAAGCACGTCCAGACCAAATCTAATGCTGGGATCAAGCTATGGTACATTAGGTTTTCCAATCCAGTGCTCGTACAAACATCGGGCAGAAGGCAGTTTTGTCCCATGTAGTGTGGCACAACGCTAGGATGACTCAGGAGCCGACATCAGAAAGACTAGCCTCTCCATTTTTAATATGATACACTGACCATATTAAAAGGCATAGTTTTTGTACAGTCTGATTGCTTCATTTAACTGAACACACTGACTGTCATGTCATATTTGGGTAATGTCCAAGTGACTGTAATCAGGGAAAAATCCTGCTGAGAACCCACCCTCTGCTCATTGTACCCTACTCACTCATCACTGGTTCCCAGTGGCTGAGACTCCCACACAGTGCAGGTGACCTTTGGAAAGCCCGTGGAAGCTCTGAGTAGTGCCTGGTGAAATGTTTGGCTCATCATGTTCTTTCATTCCAGAACCCTGACCGTGTCCTGCTAGAGACCAGATATTTTAAATTAGCGTTTGAAAGCCGTTGAAGGGTTTTCCGATTTCATGGTTTACTGAATATATACTCAACTACAAGAGAACTCAATAAAACAACACTTAGAAACAAGTCAGACCAATCAAATGGAAAAATGTGAATAAGTCATGTTGTATGCAGGTTTGGCTGGCCCTGTCAGAGGAGGCAGAGTTGGCCCCTGCTATGTATACAAACTCTCTCACACACACAGACACAGAACAGCAGCTGCCAGCACCTAGTTTGGAGTTGAGGCTCCACTGTCTATTTGTAGAATGATGGAGTAATGTAGAAGACCGTTATACTAAAGGTCTCGGAGACATGTTTCAGCTGGAACACACGCATGCATGCACGGGGCTAAAACAATGTAATTTTGACTTTCTATAGACTTGTGTATTCAGGGTGCCTTAGTTTTGCAGGATGAACACGACAGCTCTTCTCCAGTGAAGTGTCAGACATGTTTTGTTTTGCTGTAGTGTATTTTCGGATTTGGCTTGATGTTGTTTTGATGGTGTGGAAAGCAGTCATTAATTTAAAATGCCAGTTAAGTTTAACCACATGCAGAGCTATGATTTACCCAGAGGAGACAGATTAATGGGTGTAAAGGAATGCTGGGTTTCACATATTTTGTAATAGCTCTAGAAATCTTCAGATAGATGCTTTAAACTGGTGTTCAGCTTTTTCTGTTGACCCCAGAGCCCTTTACTGCCAAAAGAAGCAGGCCATAAATAATCACGTGACACAGTTTTACTAGTAGGGCCGTGAAGGTATATTTGGAAATGGTGAACATGAATGTAAAAGTGTGCAAAGATTCCAAGTTAGTGTGCGTTCAAATGCCAAACTGTTGCATTTGTGAGTGCTGTAAGTGGGTTCATGACACCAGAGTTGCAAAGGTAGGAGATGTTTCGCTAGTGGATGATGGTTAAACAGGAAGCTCAGGTGTGCAGTTGAAATTAGAACGGTAAAACAAACTGCACTACATCTCTCGTATCTGGAGAATGACACGTCTGTATGTTTACCTTAACACGCTGCTGTCTGATTTCTTATCCTAGTGTGTTTAGTTAGTGGTCCAACATGTGATGAAATAAACAATAAGTATTTGTTTTTTTTCCCCTGTATGTCACAGCTTTAGCCACTTTAGTGTGTAACATTCCCACTTTACGCAATACTGAACTGGAGCCATGTTGTTATGTCTCCCAGAAAGCAGAGTTCCAGCTGTTTATCACACACAAACGCTCACACACGTTGGTCTTACTATAATTGTGAGGGCCCCCACTAACATAATGCATTCCCTAGCCCTTTGCCTCACATTATCCATCACAAATGCCTAACCCCAGCCCGTTTTGTAACCTAAACCTAATTCTAAGCTCAACCTTAAAACCAAGTCTTAACCATTAAAGTCATTTGAAGTGTGAATGTGCTCACAAACACAGAAATGTCCTCAAAAATGTATACATTTGTCATACATCTATAGAAGGACATGCCCCCCCTCCAAACCCACACACACACAGAGTTGTGTTTTGTAATGATTTGCATTTTGGTGACTTGATTTTTGTCTCTATAAGGACATGAGTCCCTACAGTGTGACTGTGTAAACAGATTTATGTCCCCTCAATCTGAGTAATACCAGGCCACGCACGCACACACACACACACACACAAACAGATTGATAGTTTGAGCAGATATTAAACTGGACGGGCCGAAGAGTGGGCTCTGTAATTTCAGTGACCTGCCCAAAAATAGATGGCAAATGTGACAGAGGGAGAGACTAAGTGTCTACTGTATGTGTGTCGGAAAAAAGAGAGGGAGTTGATGTGGGAATGAGAGAAAGAGGGAGTGTGACCATGAGAAGGGTGTATGTGTGTGTGTGTGTGTGTGTGTGTGTGAGACAGAGAAGGAGGAAGGGAGAGTGCTCCCAGCACAGTCTGATCAGTGTTTCGTTCTCCTCGTTGCTATGTGGATTACTGCTCCTACTGCTTACTGGATTCCCCTTCTCATTACTGGAAACCTGCATTGAACCAGCACAGAGGACTTTTATTGGAGTAATTAGACGTTTTACCACCAGTTACTTTAATAGTTGTCTCAGTAGGACCTTTGTAGTTAAATCAAAGTGTCGAGTAATGAGTAATGAAATGAACGGTAGCGTTCTGCCGCTGTCAATACCTGAGGATAGGGAAGCCCTGGACCATGTTCCACACAGGGAGATGAACGGATACCACCAGAAGCTGCAGGGTGGGGACGGGGCAGAGGCTGAGGTCCCGGTATCCAGGTCTCAGAGGCGGAGGAGCGATGTCAAAGTGTATAAGGAGTTTTGTGATTTTTATGCTCGCTTGTAAGTATACAGTTTCGAGGACAGGAGTGAAACTGAAGTGGATAGATATAGAACAAAATACAAGTTTGCACAGATAACAGTGACATTTTGAGATACAATCTGGTTATTGAAATTTGCTTCTTATGTTTTTGTTATTACTTTTGTTATATGAGATGTACTGCCAAAGTACTGCGCTAGCGTGTCTCTAGATGTATTATAACACAGCCAGTCTCGAGTCACCTTTGAGTCTCCGTCATTTTCTGGGACCCCCCGCCGGCTTATAATCATCACCATCTTACAAAACCCCCCTCGCTCCTCATTAAAGCTTAACTGCATTCCAGAGGGAGCATCATGGAGCACAGGACACGAGCTGTAGGATGGTCCCCGCGTTTGGTCACTGAATGGCCAACACAGTTTAAAAATTAATACCCTTTGGTAACTGACATGTCAATCAAATTGATGGCAGTGCCAAAAAATGGTATTATATAGCAGAGGTGCGTGTTTGTTAAGGAACACAGACATGGTATTCGTACGCTCTAAGCTTGTTACAGAATGTGATATTATAGCAGCTGTGTTTTACCGGCCAGTCTGATTCACTTAAGCTGCTGTAGGTGCCATGTTTGTGCAGGGATAGCTCTGAGCGCTACAGCAGGGAGCATAGAGGAAGGGCTATTTCTGTGCCAAGGGGGGAGTTGTTATGAAAAGTAGAATATGCCAAAAGGTATCCCAAGTATGTGTGCATGAGGGACAGGAAGGCTAAATATACATGGTATGCTCCAGACAGGTGACCTCATCACAGGCTTCAGGAGACCATGGACATGAGATCACCCACAGGTTGTAAAGGGACATTGTGGAGCCAGGAATTTTGTATCTCAGGGTCAAGGGTTAAGAGGGCAGATGGTTGCGCTGGGACAGGTGAACTGAACTATCCAAGCTTTACACAAACTGGGTTTGAGGTTTTATTTTTGAGCTGAATAAAACACAAACGATAGCACATACTGTATATAAAAACCACAATAATGTCCTTGTTAAATGATGGATCATTTGAATGCCATATATTTAGTTACTGCGGTGGCATATAAACATAGTATAGCAATAACATAAAGGCTATTGAAGTCAGTAAAATTGTTTGGAAAGTCTGGGTGGTGCAGAGGAAAACAGGGCTTTGCCGACAGTGGAAGACCTTCACAGCATTACTTTTGTCTTGACCACAATGAACACAACTGGCAGCTGGTGGGATGTTGGTAAGAGATCACATCCTCCTCACCACACTAATGACTCCATGCTGATAAAGTGTGGGAGTTAGAGCAACAAGTACTGAGAGAATTGACCACTGATTTTGTTTTAGTTCCCCAACTGCTTTTACGGGCATGTCTCTAATTTGTGCAGGGTGCTAGGCGCAGATAGGAGGGTGGAAATGCCAAGGGGATGTATCATTTCCTCCCACAATTCCTTTAGACAGGGCAGGGCTGACAATGGATGTGATATCAGCCCAGACAGGGTATATAGCACAGTATACATATATAATACGGTATGTATTTGATGAGGTTATGACAAGTGGGCCCATCTTGTTTCATGGTGTACCAAGCTACCCTTGTTTGTTGTGCAACTGTGTAGAGTCATGTGGAAGAACTAAAATGATGGGGAGTTTAGAGTAAAGCCTACAAAATGAGAGAAGAACTAAAATGTGTTTTGTTAAAATGATGGAGAGTTTAGAGTAAAGCCTACAAAATGAGAGGCAATGAGTCTGGGAGTTTTTGGAATTCTTGTTGAGTTCCAAGTTGATCTAACCAAGTTAATATCAACAAATGGCATCACTCCATAAAATTCTTACATGGTCTTGTGTGTAGGTGTGTTGCCTAGATACACTTTGGTATTCTGAACTGGCATTCAACCAAAGCAGAGGAGCCAGGATGGTCCCACCATTCTCTTTCCATTTTAATTGCTCTCTTTCACCATATATTTCTACTCAGTTAATCCCATTTATTTCCAGTCAGGTAGTAAAGCGGTGTTCTTAATATGTGCATGACCACTGGGACATTTGCTACTGATTAACTAATTTGGTGATGTTTTGCCCACAGAGATTTTCAAAAATATTTCCACTGGTACACATTGTACGATATAACACCTATCTATAACCCCCATCTCCAAACAGAAGAAGAAGTCAGACTCTTGTGCTCAGGTTTTCCTATGAGAATAAAGACACTCTCCTCTGTGGAAATCTCAAACCTTGTCAACAACTACAGTATAAAAAATAGGTGTTATAAACATAAATTGATATATGATTCAGAAATTACCTGATATATTTCACCATATTTCCTCACAGGCTGAAGGAGAGAGAGAAAGAGAAGTTCGACTAATTGTGTCTCCAGATCCAGTTTAAAAATTAGGAGCAAAACCCAATGATTGGTAGGCGACTTGTGTAAAGGGCTCATGCTGTGAAGTGAAGGTCAGACTTGACATTAAATGTCAGTTTAAGTGTTAGATGTTTTCTGGTATTGACTTCTATTTTACAGAGTGCAAATGTGATAGTGAGCAGAAATAAGCAGACTGTGGCAGGCTTTGGTGTGTGACCACAATTGTGCTGTAATTTCTGGCAATGGTAGTAATTCTGATCGTTTTAAGAAAGGACGGTATCAGCTTCGTATGCCAAACTAACTCTGTGACTCAGTAGTTTTGTTCTTAAAACACTTATTGAACTGAATCAGACAAAAGGGGGTGGGGGTGGTTTGTTGTATGATAGTGATCCATGTCTGTGCATGCCCACATTGCTTCCAGACACACTCCTGATACAAGGTTCAGGGTAGATGGATGAACAGTAACCTCAGAGTGCCTCTCAAAAGACAACATGTTGGTTTCTCCACATCACTGATCCCCCACACCCTGTTCAGCAGAGCCAAAATCAACCTTGAACCACACCGTGTGTGTGGGCTGATAATGTCTTACATCACATTTTCCTCACTTTGCTCTCCTTTCTCCTGTTACTGAGTATATCATCCAGCTGTTTTTATGACAGGAGAAACATTGGACACTAGCTGTTAAAACATTGGTGTGTCCTGATGTACAACCAGTGCATGGGAACAAATCAGATACATTGTTTTTTATTATGTGGATGCAATGTAGTATATTAAATAACTGCAATATAGCAGAATATCTTGTCTTACTAACAGACTATAAAATGAAATATAGTAAAAGTGATGCCATGAAACCTCACTCTGATATTTCAGTTCTGTGGAAATAAACCAAATGGATAAAAGCACACTTCTTTGTACGTTTCTCTCAAAGGCATTTCAGGCATAACTGAGGTTTCAACAGGTAAAGAAAATAACAATGAATAAACATCAGGACTAAATAAAGACACATGCTGTAATGTCAGTAGACTGAATAACAACTCAGCAGATTGAGTCCTACTGGCAGTATCTTTTGCAATAAATCTGACTTGACATTTTGTTGGGATCATAATTGGTTTTGTTCTACTTATTATAATCTGTGTATATCACACTGCTACTTTTTACTTATAAACATCTTGTGATTTTTTTTTTTAAGTACCCATGAGTAATTCTGATTATATATATATATATATTTCTTTTTTTCCTCAGCAACATGGCCAATGCTCTGGCCAGTGCCATGTGTGAGCGCTGCAAGAGTGGCTTTGCCCCTGCAGAGAAGATAGTGAACAGTAACGGGGAACTGTACCATGAGCAGTGCTTTGTGTGTGCCCAGTGTTTCCAGCAGTTCCCAGAGGGGCTCTTCTATGAGGTAACATTTTGTCCTTACTAATGTCTTTTCACTGTAACTTTCATCACCCGATAAAAATGGATGATGCAATAACTGTCAGGTTTAAACACACCTAAAATATAATGGGTTATAATAAATGTGTGCATTGCAATGCTTTCTCATTTCACAGGCAGTTAGAACCCTGTTTAGGCTTTAGTAATGCACATACTAGGGATGGGGCAGTATAATGAAGTTCAAAACGTCACAATATGCATCGTTTTGTCTAGTGGTCCATATGGTGTGGTCTCCGTACACCAGCAACTTCGTATTTTGTGTAAATAAGAAATAATAACAGAACATGTCCTTTAAATAATCAAGCCAGTGTTAGAAAATGGGGGGAAAAGAGGAATAAATTACAAGTATTCCGCAGCTAGTCATACATTGTTGTCATTGAATATTTAATTGAATCGAATCATACACACCATGTCGTGCATCGAATGGTCACATTGCCACATCCCTGGGAAATACCTAAGAGAATTTAAACCCACGTTTGCACTGAGGGAAACAAAGAACCTTAATGCAGTATTGAATTATTAGAAACCTGTTTCCAGAAAGCTGTTTGTTTATCAGCTTTGACACAAGGCCAGATGTCTCCCCAGCAGTTCCCAGAGAACCGGATGCTCTATCAAAGAGTAGGCGTCTCCAGTGCTTCAGTCAGTATAATATCAATCAATATAAGCATCAAAGCCAAGGCCACTCTATTAATCTTTGATTCTCGTTAAATAATTCTACCTGTTGCCATAAATAAACTGCAGTAAATTGAATATTCCCCCTCCCTCTCTGTTGAGCGTTAGTAGTTGGCACGTACAATAGGATACGTTTGAAGTGACACCATACTGTTGTTGAGTAGCAGTTGCATTTGTTTTAATGACCTCTGGAAGCTAAAACTCTAAATGTAAAACGCTCTTTAAAATACAAAGTCAATGTTTTGTTTTGTTTTATTTTCTTCAGGAGGTTACAGTGTAGTTAAAAGGTATTTCTTGACATCTTGTCTGATTTTCAGCATTAGTTACAATGTATTCATTCACATTCACTGTATAATGGAACTCGTGACATTGTCACTGAGAAAATTTCATACATTGACTCATATTTGTAACTGTGGTTTTTGACATAGTCTTCTTGTGTAATATCTGTGTAAAGAGTTTTTAGGAATATACTATCCTTCATATGTTTGCTGTTGTAATGTGTTAATATACAGTTGTACGCTTCAATTAATTTTGTACAAATTGTTTGAATTCTGTTGGCAGTTTGAAGGGAGGAAATACTGTGAACATGACTTTCAGATGCTGTTCGCTCCCTGCTGCCATCAGTGTGGTAAGTGTAGGACCTGCAGTAACAGAATGAACACTGTTCAGCCATATTCTTTACCGCACCCTAACTATTCTGGCTCATGTGGAGTAACCCCTGTAGCTTGGAGTACTATGCCCTTTAAAAAAATAAATATCTAAGTAACCGTTTGGTCATCGTGTTGTTTTTCTTCAAGGTGAATTCATCATTGGCCGTGTGATCAAGGCAATGAACAACAGCTGGCATCCGGACTGTTTCTGCTGTGTTATCTGCCAGGCCGTGCTGGCTGATATTGGATTTGTTAAGAATGCTGGAAGGTCAGTTCCTCTACAATCAACTACTGTGATGTTTCTGTAATTAAACCAGTTATTGGCTTTTGAAAGGTTGCTTTATCTGATACTGATTATTCTGCCACTGCTATGCGTTTATGCCAAGCAGGTTCAAGATCTTTTGCTCCTCAAACTCTCCTTGAGATGTTCAGCTGAGGTGAAAGCCAGTATTAAGGGAGAGATACTGTAGCTTGCTGTTCTGTACTATTAACTGTGTCAGGGATGGATACTGAGCTGACTGGTCAAATTTCTGTCAAGAAAAACATGCTTTAGGTTCATTTACGTGTTGCCTGTTTCATGTACATAGGCTGTAAAATCCTAAATCACAACATGTTGCAGATAAGATAATAATACTATCTCTGCATCAGCTGTATGCATGACGGAGGAGATATATTAGCCAGATCAATACTTTATTGATCTGCCTTAATGGATGAATGAAGTATGCGATCAAGTATTGATTCTTTTATATTATTCTTTCCCTCTCCCATCAGGCACCTGTGTCGTCCATGTCACAACAGAGAGAAAGCTCGGGGCCTCGGCAAGTACATCTGTCAGAAGTGCCATGCCATTATCGACGAGCAGCCTCTGCTGTTCAAGAATGACCCCTACCATCCTGATCACTTCAACTGCACCAACTGCGGGTAAAACATACATACTCAAGCCCAGCCAGGCGTGTCAGTTTCAAAAATCATTAACAGCATGAAGACAAACTGCTGGAGCTTATGAATAATTATGAAAACACTTCATATTCAGAACTGGAAATAAGTCTTTTGAGTCTATGCAAGCTCAGTCTTCATTTTTATGCAGCCATGACATTTTATGCTCAGATCGTGTGGCTTGAATATACCGAGAAGATCTGTGATTATTACGTTTATCATTACATAAGTATTTGTTACAACTCTAATATACCAATCAAATATTCTTATTAAGAAAACCTCACAGGTATTCATTATTTTGTGTTTCCTGAGTCAAAGCAGAGGTGATAGTCTTGGTTTTCACTCCACCTCTGCAGTAAGGAGCTTACAGCTGATGCCAGAGAGCTGAAGGGGGAGCTCTACTGTCTGCCCTGCCATGACAAGATGGGTGTCCCCATCTGTGGGGCCTGCAGGAGACCCATCGAGGGCCGGGTGGTCAATGCCATGGGCAAGCAGTGGCATGTGGAGGTACGGTGTTAAACTGCAAAACAGTTTGGAAACAACTTTAGTTATTTTGAGCATAGTAGACTATACTGTTATGCCTACATTGCTGTCACACTCAAGATGGTGAAATTAGAACAGTTTGATTAGGCGTAAATGTCAGATTGCTTCCAGATGTATTTGTATTTTAATTGATATACTGTCTGTGTGCGGTGGCCTGAGTATCTCTGGAGTTCTCAGTATTTACCATGATTCTTAACCAGTGCTGTGTATGTGTGACTCATATGTTTACCAGCATTATCTCCACAGTTATGTTCAGTGCCATCTTGGAGCTCTGGCCTCATTCCACCACCTATCTTCATTTTCTCTTCTGTCTTTTCACGTTTTATGGCTGTTTTCCTGCCTTCCCTCCTTCACATGTAGCATCATGTGTGCACTGTGTGTGAGCGCCCATTTCAGGGGCACCCGTTTTATGAGCGAGGCGGTCGTGCCTATTGTGAGAGACACTTTGACATGGTGAGGGGATTAAGAACCGGCCGGATGCTGACTGCTGCCCCGTGTCTCATTTCTCCTTGCCTGCCTCCCTCTCTCAAACCTCCACATGAAGGTTACACTAATTCACCAGTTGGTCTTCCATCATAAAGCTCTTTGTCGGCCACTTTGGTACAGAGCAGGATACTGTATCTTGACAACTATGGGCCTGATTGCCCTTTGTGTTGGTGTCAGATCAATTCTCAACCCGGTTGCCTCAAATTAGATACTTTTCCTAACTCAACATGTGTAAGCATTGTGGTTTATTCCTAACAATGTTATAAGTGTTAGGGTTTGTCAGGGGCTTTTTATACATTGAACAAGAATAGGACTCGAGGTGAAATCAGTTCTTCATTCCAACTGTCAAACGGAAACATGTTGAATTTTTCCTAGCAATACCCTCCATCACAAACATCACCTTAGACTTAGCTTTTAAAAATCCATATTGGTGTAACCCTGCTCTCTTGTACTTATCCATGATACCCTATTACATAATATGGTGTAACCCTGCTCTCTTGTACTTATCCATGATATCCTATTACATAGACACATAAGACATTTTCACTGAGCCTCACTGAATTAGCTGTGATGGCTAAATCTTCCATTATTAAAAACACTGTACAATTTGCATTAAAGATGTGTTCGTCATGTCCATCTGCAGGATTAGTGCACCCTCTGGAGGTCATTGTTCTGTTACACTTCTGTACTCTGCTCTATTCTGTTTGGACACAGTAACAGGACATCTGGACAGAACTAATCTGATTTTAGTCTGACCTGATATCTAAACCAGACTGGGCTGCTGTTTGTAAAATGGTCTGAATGTGATAATACACTGACTGACAACTGTGCTAACCTTGTGTGCTTGGACATGGGTTTGTTTGCAGCATTTTGTGTGTGCTAAGTGCGAGAAACCCTTCCTGGGACACCGTCACTACGAACGCAAGGGCCTCGCCTACTGTGAAACACACTACAACCAGGTAATGCTCCACAGTATCAGGAGTAAAAACACAGAAATAGAAACAGGAACAAGCTGTACTGTTTTGCCCCTTGTGAAACCTCTTCTCCTTTAGCTCCATTTATTGTATGCAAGTCATCAAAACAAGCTCGACTCTCTGTATAAAGTAAAAACAGGGACTGTGTATTTGACCAGGGCTGGTCTTGTGGTCTAATATATCAGAAGTTTTCAAGTTGGCTGCATTTTTCAGTTGATCATTACTATGAAATGCAACAATTAGCAAATGTTTGCATTAAAAATAAAAAAAATATAAAAGTAGTAAACTGTGTATTGGAGTAAGCCACACACAGAGATTGTCCTGGTATGTATGTGGAACTCTGGGTGACATATTTCACTTGTTCCCAGTGAGTTTTCCTAGTTTTCTAGAAATTTTCTACACAAATGCATCCGTATAAGACAATATACTGTGGTATCATCAAAATGACACTGCAGAAAATGTTTAACTACATATAGCCGACCCCACTTGTTTTAAATGGGAAATATCAAAAACTCAGTAACAGAAAAAGAAATGTTTGGCAGAAATCTTTATTATTTTTGTGACTTGAGGTTCTAAAGAAATGACTTGAACAAGTCTTAGTTTGAACTATGCTGGATTAGAAAGAGCGACATGGCTCCACCTAGTGTTAGAATGTGTTTTCCAACACAATACTTGTGCTTATAGTGAAGCCTCGGGGCCCTGTTTTGTTTTGGGTTTTTTTTGCATGGCATCTGAATGTGTGGTGGTTAACTATGATGAAGCCTGCCTGTTTTGCATAATTTCATAAGATGGCTACCGCGTTGCTGACCTTTGTTTCTCTCTCGTCACACAGCTGTTTGGAGACGTTTGCTACCACTGCAATCGTGTTATTGAAGGAGATGGTGAGACAGCTTGTTTTAAGTAAAAATAAATATATGAATGTTAAGGTGGTCCATGGATGGAGTGATCCTACATCACTCTCTTTGCAGCCCTGTTAACATCAGTTTTCATTGGAGTACAAATTGCTATGTGCTTTTCACACGACATTGACTGTAAATAAGATTCAGATTTTCACTCTCTTTCATCAGCAGTCTGGATCAGTGTCTCATGTGACTGCGTAATTGCGGTTTATTTTCTGTTTTTTCAGTGGTGTCTGCCCTTAACAAGGCTTGGTGTGTCAACTGTTTTGCCTGCTCTACCTGCAACACCAAGCTCACCCTTAAGTAAGTAATGCATTGAGTCTAAGAGAGACACTGCAGCATTAATACTGACACTTCGTACTGTGATTAATCCACACATTTTAACTTGGATGATGTAATTATTAGGCACTTAAAAATTCTATTAAGTACTGTCAAACCCTGCGCTATTTCTTATTTTTCTATTTCACAACTGCCCTGGATCTGGGCCTATTTGATGTCTGTTTTTCAGCCCTGTTCGTGCCTGATTTTCTCACCTGTCTCTTTTAACCTCATGTTTCTGTGGGCTTGTCTCTCCACCACTCCTCCCCTTGAACCTTCTTTGTCCTCTTGTATCCTTCTTTTTCTCCTCTTTTTGCTTTGCCCCCCTCCTCTTCCACTGTCCTTCCTTTTCTCATCCCTATCTTTCACACCTGTGGCCATCTTTCCTTCCTCCCTGCTCTGTCAGGGATAAGTTTGTGGAGGTGGATCTGAAGCCAGTGTGTAAGCACTGCTACGAACGCCTGCCAGACGACATGAAACACCGGTTGGCCAAGCGCGAGAGTGACTCAAAACACAAGAAGAAGAAATTACTTCCTAAATTACCCATGTGTCTGTGATCCTCTCTTTCTCCTTTTTCCTCATTTCTACTGTTCTTCTTTTGGTCAGTTTCCATCTTTCTTCCTTTATTTTTTATTCTTCTGCTGTTTTGTTGTCATCATATTTTACACATGCTTGCTGCCACTTCTATTCCTCATATCACTGTTATACTTCATTTGGCTTTCCAGCCAAACTATGAAGGCAGAAATTAGGTAGATGAATTGGCACTGACTGAACATACAGCATTTGAGTGACTTAACAGTGGAAATGTTTCAGTACATGTTCACTTCTCACTCAGAAACACTAGTCAGGATTAAGGCTGGTCCTCTGGTGGCCTATGCTATGCAAACAGGAAAATAGAACCAATCACACTGTGAAGGGAAAGCTTTGTTTCTCAGGTCAACCGGTCTGTCTGGGTATAAAGGCCAAAGCTTTAATCACTTCAAACAGCTTTCTGGTCTCAGCCATGTGAGCGCCGAGGTCCAACTGGGTTTGGCATGTAATGTAAAAATTTTAAATTCTCAGCTATAAAATTGACAAAAACATGCTATTCAATTAGATTTTTTCTTTTTTCTGTAAAGTTTTATAGGACAAAGATAATATGTTGATGATGTACAATTCTAACTGTAAATGATCCAAACTATTCACCTTTGTTTATTGACCAAAGTCTTCTGTTTTTTGCATGCAAGTATTTAAAGGTACAGTATCTGTTGTTGCAAAGATTATCTGTGAAGGTATGAAATACATGCTAGTTAGTGTTCTATAGTGACATCTAATGTCCAGCCTGTAATTGTTTGCCGTTCTTACACAGGAACAAGTTTGTGGAGTTTGACATGAAGCCAGTGTGTAAGAAGTGCTATGAGAAATTTCCTCTGGAGCTGAAGAAGAGACTGAAGAAGCTGTCTGACGCTGTTGCACGGAAGTAAACACGCGGTCAAGCCACAGGAGAGAGGCAAAGATAGATGAGTCAGTGAGGTGGCTGTGAAGGGAAGAAGTTACATTTCCGAAACTGATAATTGTTAAAAATTGAATCTGTGTGTTTTTTATTATTGGTATGTTAAATTCAGGTTGGTTATTTTAGTGAAACACTCCACTTCTTGTTCTTTCAGTTACATCTGAAACACTGAGAATCATTTCATGAGCCTGAAACTGACGGATGGTTCAGCATTCAGATAGGCCTTTTCCACTGTAGGAACTTACTGACCCGTAACTGAACTTGTATCCCTTGTCCTGGGTACTGCTTTTGTTTTGCTTTAGAGGTAAAACAGGTGCAAAACTTCAGAGATTTGACCACAGGCAAAGCAGCAAAAGTGTCACCTTACTGCAAGTTTGTTCTGCTTGTTGAACATCTATTTGATAACCTGCTCATGCAGTCTCAGTTACAGGCAGACTTTGTTGCACATATGATTAACAAGCATGTTACTGTTCACTTGAAGCTGTCTCCTCAGTTGTATAGAGGAGCTCAGCCCTGCCCTCATGTAAACAGGCACAGACACAAGGAAAAATTCAATAGAAAAGCAAAGCATAACAGACCGCATCAGCCCTTCAATTTCTGTGAGATTACAGATAGGGGAAGATCCAAGTTACTGCTCATTAAGTTACCATGGTGGAAAAACACTAAGATTGTTGGTCAGTCAGTCATAACATTTAACTTTAATCTGGTCAATGCCTTATGGCTCAAACACTGCACTGCATAGTTTTCATAGACGTGCCTTATTACACTGCTATATATATATATATGTATATGTAAACATAAGCATGTGATGATAGTCCTGTATTTAATAATGAGCTTTAAGAGAACATAGAAACATGGGGATAATATGACTTAAAAGCAGCATTAGCAGGTTGTTCAACTGTTTGCCATCTTGTTTTGTGACACCAAATAATGTTTGCTGCTTGACTTACAGTATGTTACGATATGCTTGCTTAATAATAGAGTAAAGCTAAAAAAAAGCTAAGAAATGCATCTGAATGTGTATAGAATATCCACCAAAATGTATTATTATGTATTTTCTTTAATATTATGGAAGTACGTTTTAATTTCTTTTCCTTTTTTATTGCTTTTTTTGCATCAGATTATTGACATCATTCAGCAGCCTCCTTAATGAAGGGTACATACAGTGTTGGACTCAACCATCACCTGCAGTATGTTGGATTGCCTCGTTCTGTACTATGCATTCTGTGTGAAACACTCTATGCAAAGAGATATTTACCGGTTTAACAGGTTCCACTTGTACAAACTAAAATAATATTATAACAGCTCTGAAAAGCCCAAGCTTATAATGTTTGGTTTTTGTTTACAGTAAATACTTAAGGGTGACAGAATATTTGAAAACACCCTTCAAAGTAATACAGTCCAATGTAATGCCATAAATACATCTTAAAATTTGTGATAGAGATGAAACAGTACAGTACCTTCGACATTTGTGAACAAATAATGTCAGATGCTTCAGTGACAGGATTTATTGCATGACAACTGGTAATTGTGTGTGTGTGTGTGTGTGTGTGTGTGTGTGTTTTACACCGTGATGGCTTGTGCCATGTGCAGAGACCGGATGTGGGAGTGATGTGAACATATGTCTCTGCCATTTGTAATCCAGAGAAGTGATCCTCTTAGAGAGGTGTAGCAACTTCCTCAGGGCTCATAGCCTCTAAGGAAGGAAAACCAACTGTTGTGAGTTGGAAAGAATAATTTGTTTTCAACAAATTGTTTTACTCATACAGTATTTTATCAGAGAAAGCTTTTCTTTTACATAGAAAAACACATTCCACTGTTTTATGGAAATACAAATTCTGTGTTACTGTTGCCACAACATTTCTCATGTGTCATGCAGAAGTAAAACTATCCACTGGACTGTTTGTTGTGAAGCAGAACTTCTCCTCCACTAAAAATAGTTCAGTAGAGGGTTTTATTTTCTATCTGAGTGACTGAGATGACTCTGTTGCTCTTATACTGTATTTTCAAAGTGCTTGTCAAGAGGCAATATTTCTCCATGAATACACACCAAAGTGCATCATCTAGACTTGAATGGAAAGTTATTTTTCAGACAGTTCTAAGACAATTCTGTCAACTTACCTGAATAAACATGTTTGGGAATTCCACGGTGTGGCCCTAGTATGTTGGATTTACAGTTTCTCATGTCTCTAAGTGTACTATGACATCACTAGGTTTAGGATTCACAGGGGTGTATGGCAGATTACTTAGAATAAAAATACTGTAAACTGCCTTCAGTTCCACCATAGCTGGCAACATACTTGGTTTATTTTATGTCTGGGATTAAATACACATAATTAATCACACCAGCAGGAAGTATTACCTGTTGAAGTTCGATATTCCACTGAAAGTATAATTTTGTCTTGCTTGAGTTTAAAAAGTATATAATTCATTGCAAAAATACAATGGATTGAATAGGCATTGTGGCACATTTTTATCCCCACTTAAGGAGCATAAAGCACAGAAAGGGTGATACAGCCTACGTAAGCACACTTTGAAAGGACAAACTAATTAAAACTGACCCCCAAAAGCTAATATACATGGCTTTGTAGAATTTTGTTCATAATGTTTTTCATTTGTTGTCAAATAATACCCATACTTGCAAAATAGAACCCAGAATTGTTGGTCAAGGATGATTTTGCATACAAGGGGGATTAGACTGTTTTATAGTGTACCTTCTAGGTACTTCAGATGTATAGGTTTGTATCATCACACGAATCACGTCCGTTTGGCCCCAGATTCGTGCTGCAGTAAGACAGCCCTGATTTCCTCAGCTTCAAGAAGAACAAGGAGTTCTGCAACACATTACCCCAACAGAACCCTGATCTGAACATCATGGGTCTGGGTTTATGTGAAAAATACAGAAGACATGGAGATAGCCTAAATTCATAAAACAAATGTGGTAAGTACTTTGAAAAACTGTGTGCCATGGATCACTGGTGCAGTTTTAAAGGTAAAATGTTTTCATACCAAATAGTGATTTAATTTAGGATTTTTTCTTACTGTATTGTATGATGTTAATTTATAAACAAAACTATTCATTACTTTAGAAAGCATATTCACTCATTCTCAAGTACTTCACACTTTTGCATTATGTAAATAGGCCATGTATATGGTCAGCATCAACATAGAATATACTTTATACTGATCAAAGTGTCAGTCAGCTGGTTCAGTATTAGTTTTGTGTGATATGGAATAACTAGACAGCACTCACAGCCTCCACCAAGACGGCTCAGTATAATGCCATTAAACCTAAAACAATATTCTTCTGATAGTGTGACCCTCATATGATTCATTGACCATGAAAACCTACCTCTAGCATTTGGAATCACATTGATATCATTATTAGTTTAAAAGTTATTCAAATTTTTTTTTTCATCCAGATTCTAAATGATAATCCCGATCACCATCAAAGTGTAATTAATTGTTCTATGGGCCATATCCTACCTGTCCAAAACAAAAATCATCCAAAACATAATTTTTGAGTTATGCTGTGAGCAAATCAACAAACGGCAGTAAAATATAACCTCCACTAAATACCCATACAGTATTTTATCACAGAAAATAAGCAGCAGAATTCTGTATTATCAGCTTTCCACATAAGCAAGGATCACCCCAGCCAGCCGACACCCACCCACCCACACCTCCTTCAAAATAAAGTGCCTCTCTGTGCGTCAAAATGAATACTCGGGTCTCATTGGTTAAGGATCCTGATGCAGGAACGCGCACGACCCACGTAACTTTCTGCCATTTGAGACTGCGCAATATCATCGCGGGTAGCTAACGTTACGGAGTTACAGTCGAGTCGATGTTAATGTCAGTTTTTGTTATTTTGTGAGTTCCTGGTGTTCTATGCATCTTAGTGAGCCGTTTTAGAAACTATGCGGCGAAGTAAAGCTGAAGTGGACCGTTATGTTTCCTCAGTACAGAGTTCCTCTCCCTCACTCAAAGAGGTAAGTTGAGCCGGCGGCTAATGTTAGCATGTTGCTGCCGTCGTGTCAAACCAGCATGCGTTAGCCTGCCGGTGTTACAAGACAGCCTAAACACCGGGTTAAATTAACAGTGGATGTATATTTCAGTAACGGACGTTAGGTTAAATCGGTTAGCTTGAATCTTGTGTTCTGTGTCGCCTCTGCTAGTTAACAGTCCCCGGCTAGCGACACGAAGGCTAATGTTGACTAACCGGCATGATAACGCCTCGTCGCGTATGGTGTCCTCCCCTCTACGCTCGGGAAATGCGCGCCATTGGGTTCTTACAACAGCGTTAACTAATTAAACATGTTAGTTAGCCATCATGCGGCTTAATAGTTACACAACCTTGTACAAATATTAACGTTACTGGTTCTGTGTATCTGGAACACCACGGCTTTACTTTCAGTTTTAATCGGAGTCTACGCATTAATTTATGAGCAGTAACGTTAGCTGCACGCCAAACGGTGTTCAGAAATCTTCTGACATTTCACTGCTGACAATAAACAGAAATTACTGGACTGGTACGGGTTAACTGTTGCACTTAGTTAACAGTGCAGTATTCTAATATTATGTTAACAGTGTAGTTAACATATTAAGAGATTTATTTATATATTAAGTGCTTTACAGGAAAAGGGGGGAAAACAGCAGATAAATGCAAATAAAATACAGTTGTATAAAATAACTATATAATAGAGTGGTATAGTATTAACAAAAGTTTCTAATTTTGCATTAGAAGTGGTTGAAAATGCACTCAGATGTGGCATGTCTGAACTCAGAAGAGTATTTTCTCACTGGGGACTCTTAACAGCAAAGGTCTGGTCACTGAGACCCAGGAAGAGCCAGGAAAGAATGAGGGCGTTAAATCCCGCTAAACTGACCCTTGATGTAAAGGTGGTAAATTCCAGGTGACTGGGCGACATCATTTCCATCAATAAAATCACTGGAAGTCAAACATTGAAAAAACAATTACTTAAATGTTTCCCATATGCAAAAATTAGTTCTTTTTGAAACTTGGGTGCTTACCTGTTACCTTAATGCATAAAGTAACTTATTCCAGTTCCATGGTGTACAAGGACGGTCAACAATAAATTATAAGTGGAGGTAATCTTGTGACTATGTTGGCCAAGAAGGTGTTTGCTTATGCCATATCAGGACAGAGGGGTCATTTTTATCTGTGATAATTCCTTCCAAAAAGGCATCTTGCAGAAATGTTTAATGATATTTAGCATTGTGCTCTTGTAACTAAAATAAGTTAAAAAAAAAAAAGTTATTTTTTTTAAATGTTCAAAACATTGTTGGTTTACTGATATGCATCTGCAATGTCTTCTTTTCACAGAAGCCAATCAAAGGATTTTTATTTGCTAAATTGTACTTCGAAGCAAAGGAATACGAACTTGCGAAAAGGCAAGTATTTCAGCTTTCCTTTTGGTGTTCAAATGGGTTATTGCTTCCCATGAGGTTTCCATTATATTGACAGAAATCATGTGTGTTTTGTGCCCTTTCTAGACATGTATCAGAGTATCTCAAAGTCCAGGTGAGGGATCCCAAAGCACACAAATTCCTTGGACAGCTCTATGAGAGAGAGGGAGACATCAACAAGGCAGTAGGATGTTATAAGGTAGGAAGATTTGTCATGGGAAAAAACACTTTGCTCCTGAAGGAATGCATGACATGATATACTTCTTGAAATCAAAACACTCTTCCAAGTGTTTGAAGAGCAGGGACAAAAATTTTAAAGAGAATATCAAACTCAGGACTGGTGGTATAACTTTAGGCTCCTCCTGTGCCCATATGTCATTGAACAGCACCCAAAAAGTAAAATATTACAACTAACTTGGCTACCAACATCTGATTCTCTAAATATTCCATTTTCTTTCAGTTAGTTTTGTTCTTTAGCAGTACAGTCTTCTAGTTAGTTTTGTGTGCAGGTGTAAATTGGTTCCTGTCGATCAAGTTAGCCAAAAACCTTTTAGTTCTGCTTTCACACCCCACAGAAAGTGTGCAGAGATGAAGAAATGTAATGACAGCACCTTACTAATATGAAAAGGTTCAGTTTAAAATACAAGGTTGCTACAATCAATGTTAATAGGTGGGTTGCATATGATGTGTAGTTGCTGTGAAAACTGCAGATGGAGGAAGTGATTTTCTACATATATCACAAGCTGTCAAAATGCCAAAATTTTGTGTCATTTGCACACAAAGCTTTTATGAAGTACCAAAGGTAGTTGTTCGTCCATCCATCCATTTTCCTCCGCTTATCCGGTACCGGGTCACGGGGGCAGCAGTCTAAGCAAAGATGCCCAAACTTCCCTCTCTCCAGACACTTCCTCCAGCTCCTCCAGG